GCAACCAACTGTTTGGAGGGGAAACTTAACGAAGTTTTATAGTTAAGCGATAAACTAATATACGGACATGCTAACGGCTTAGCATTAATCAGGTTATTTATGTATGTGTGCATCCGATGCACATTTATGCAATTTTACATTAGGGTGGTTCACTCTTTTTTAAGTGTTTGGTTTAGCATGGAGGCCTAAACATTCCGGCCCCCTTGCTCTAAGCAACAGCAGTAAGTCGAGTCAGCCACCCCTCCTACATATGAACAATTAATGGAATTGTAAAATAAATATTGATTGAGCTGGATACGTAGTCATCACCATTGATGCTCGTTTCGGATTTCTCAGGCTGTGGAAGATAAGAAATTAAATAAAGAGGACATGGCTTGACATTTCAGTGCACAATTGTATATTTATTAAAAATTCAAAAATATATATTGCAGTTTGTAATTCATAGCTATCGAGAAATTATAGAAAACGTAAAAAGGTAAATATATTTCATGACAGTGATTCAGGATCGGCAAGCCCCTGACAGTAGCCAGCCGAAGATGCTACTTTGTGCCACGAGCGGACCGAAGGAGGTAGGCAGGGTGCCCGGAAGAATAATATCCGGATAGACGTCTGCTCCCAGCACCAAGCGGATCGGAACGGATAAAAAAAAATTTGGATCTGCCAGTCGAATATTGGCATATGCCGTAGCTATCGAGCTGTCAACGCTAGCTGTGGGGCTTAGCTGCCTATAGTTTGCGACCACGGTTGCGTGCACTACTATCCGAGCGCCTTGCCCATGCTTACCTCTTATCCGAATAATGCAGCTTCGGTGGTTCCCGAGACCAATCTCCTCAAGGCCCAATTCTCGCACCAGACTAGCCGATATTATAGACGCTGGCGCGCACACATCAATTAAGGCGCGTATGAGGTGTAAGCGTCCTCTAGATTCTATTTTTAGGGGAAATTGCCGTAAAAGGTCTAAAGCCCTGAGCGGTTAGCGTTACTTGGCCGGTTCTAAAGGCGACGGGTAGCTGGCGAGGCCGAGTCACCAGTCCACCCCGTCGTTTATCACGCCTTGAGGCCGCGTTGTTTGTGTCCCGCGGGCGGAAAGTCCAAGTTTCTGTTTTTTTCTTGACGGGAAACCCTTTTACGTATGGACCGCGGGCGGAGAGACCGAGGCTCCGCTCCGCAGCGCTGCCGTGCCCGTTGGCGTTGCCCTTCTTGACCGGTAGCCCTTTTGCGTATGGACCGCCGGCGGAGAGGCCGAGTCTCCGCTCCGCTACNTCTTTTTTAAGTGTTTGGTTTAGCATGGAGGCCTAAACATTCCGGCCCCCTTGCTCTAAGCAACAGCAGTAAGTCGAGTCAGCCACCCCTCCTACATATGAACAATTAATGGAATTGTAAAATAAATATTGATTGAGCTGGATACGTAGTCATCACCATTGATGCTCGTTTCGGATTTCTCAGGCTGTGGAAGATAAGAAATTAAATAAAGAGGACATGGCTTGACATTTCAGTGCACAATTGTATATTTATTAAAAATTCAAAAATATATATTGCAGTTTGTAATTCATAGCTATCGAGAAATTTTAGAAAACGTAAAAAGGTAAATATATTTCATGACAGTGATTCAGGATCGGCAAGCCCCTGACAGTAGCCAGCCGAAGATGCTACTTTGTGCCACGAGCGGACCGAAGGAGGTAGGCAGGGTGCCCGGAAGAATAATATCCGGATAGACGTCTGCTCCCAGCACCAAGCGGATCGGAACGGATAAAAAAAAATTTGGATCTGCCAGTCGAATATTGGCATATGCCGTAGCTATCGAGCTGTCAACGCTAGCTGTGGGGCTTAGCTGCCTATAGTTTGCGACCACGGTTGCGTGCACTACTATCCGAGCGCCTTGCCCATGCTTACCTCTTATCCGAATAATGCAGCTTCGGTGGTTCCCGAGACCAATCTCCTCAAGGCCCAATTCTCGCACCAGACTAGCCGATATTATAGACGCTGGCGCGCACACATCAATTAAGGCGCGTATGAGGTGTAAGCGTCCTCTAGATTCTATTTTTAGGGGAAATTGCCGTAAAAGGTCTAAAGCCCTGAGCGGTTAGCGTTACTTGGCCGGTTCTAAAGGCGACGGGTAGCTGGCGAGGCCGAGTCACCAGTCCACCCCGTCGTTTATCACGCCTTGAGGCCGCGTTGTTTGTGTCCCGCGGGCGGAAAGTCCAAGTTTCTGTTTTTTTCTTGACGGGAAACCCTTTTACGTATGGACCGCGGGCGGAGAGACCGAGGCTCCGCTCCGCAGCGCTGCCGTGCCCGTTGGCGTTGCCCTTCTTGACCGGTAGCCCTTTTGCGTATGGACCGCCGGCGGAGAGGCCGAGTCTCCGCTCCGCTACGCTGCGGTGCCTGTTGACGTTGTCGCCTTTTACGTGCTAATGGGAGTCGGAAAGTCCGGGTTTCCGATCCCCTTGTCGATATTGGGAAATTCACTTCCGCTCAATTATTTCGCCGTCTTCGATTTCAAGGCGGCGGGTTCGCGAATCAGTTCCGGAGTCTGACGCGTATATCGAGAGTACGTTGTCTCGTTCCTCTTCGCTGGCAACCTGCTGGCTCAAAGGTCTCCGGTCAACGCGCTCTTCGTCGATGTGCAGCGTCGTATGGTGCTTGTCATGGCATCGACGGCATCGATCGCGGCTGGTGCACCTTTGTACACGATGCGTCATTGACAAGGAATTGCCGCAGAACCGCCCTAACAGGGCCTCTCGCAAACGCTCTCCCGGGGTCTTTGCCCGATATACTGGACATAGACGAATTGGGTTCTTACCCTCGCATAGTCGGCACGCTATCGGGTAATGATGACCGTGGCGTTCAGATTTCTTTCTCAACGTAGAGAAACGGGTCATTGTAATATGTTGTTTCGATCGCAAATTTATTGTTACCAATATCTGCTATTATTGATGTATAATATTATTGATATCTGTCTTTGTTATTGATATTCATTTTTTATGGTTCTTATGGTTGGGTGGCGAGAATTACATCACATAATTATAGAACCGTGAATTGGCATATATTACTAACTCGCTCTAGACCCATGTTGGCGTGTTCAATTGGTCGTGTATGGGGTGCATAACATTACCAGCTATAAAGAGTGTGTTTGCTCCTTAATGTTCCTTAATGTGATACATTTCTTATCGATTTTGATTTCTGCATCACATCCGTGAGGTAAATGTTGACATAAGAAAACATAAACAAAGCGTATAACTAACTATAGCTCAAAGCAATCGAAGGTATGCCTTATATTTTGTATTTGTGTTCTGGTTTTCTTATAACCATGTTTATTGAGTTCGTGTGAATGTTTGATTACGATTGCTACAAACACAGGGCAAGGGCAAGATCTTCAGAAAAGTCAGTCGAGCCCAGGGATTTCAAAGGTGTTTTCTGGAGCAGTTACACCTTCGAATGTAAAGTGACTATAAAGGAGTTTTAATTTCCGAAAGTGGAACTTTCTGATAGTTCCTCTTGCCTGTTTACACAGTGGATGGAGAAAATTCCACTTTCAGCTGTGTTGCCGGAAATTCTTGTGCTTATATCATAATTAATGACCTGAAAAATTTGCTAAAAATCCTAACATGCGCACACAGCAGCCACACACTGTTCAATGCCTGATTATTGAGATACTGCGTATCAGGAGGATAAATTATTTACAAGTTCGACATTTTTGAAGCACGTGCAAGTTGAAAGTCTTGCTCGAAAGCGATTTGGGTCCTTTCAGTTGTAGTTACACATTGCATTTTCATTTCCGTAATAGGTTTCTGCAAATCTGTTTACACGGAAAGTAGACTCGCTTTCGCAACTACACAGCTAGTAACTGTGGTAAATAAGTATATGGTGAGGTTTGATTTCCCGCTTTCTCACCTTGGCCTACCACCCCGAAAAGAAAATATATATAAAATATCAAAAGAAAAAAGAAAAGTCGTTTTTGGTAAACCAATTGCAATTTTGTTTGCATTGCCATTGTGGTTTGGGCTGTTTCATATGGACTGGTTCAATACATTAGGTTTTAAATTCACTTTGCAAGTTTTTCATGAAAAATATTTTTCTCGCATTAGCCTTATTCCTGGCGATCAGTAGATGGCGCTATTGAGAAACTGCATGTTGCCACCTCGCGAAAGTTGGCACTCTTATCGTATAAAGCTGCAGCACACCTGGCAATACCCCTTGAATGAAATGAAATGTCATTCATATTTTTCCACGAGGCCAACCGGTAAGTATTGTAGGTTATTATAATTTGTGAATTTTTAATTGATAATTATTAATGTTTTCATTCATTTTCTATTTCAAGTCCCAAAGCGAAAAGTGGAGATACGAAGAGTTTTGCACTCTACATAAAATGAACTTAAAAGCCGATAACATGAAAATTGGAAACGTGTAAATGCGTACCAGTAGTAAAGCATTTGGAGTTAAAAGTACAAAACGTGTATCTTGCCCAATTGCCAAGGGATACCTTTTTGAGATAGCGAAAGTGGTTCGCTTCTTTAATACTAATGTCATCGAGAATGCTCCAAACCAGTAAACAATTCGATGGAATACATCTAAATTAATATATTTTGGATTCCATCAGCCTGCTGGCTGTGCGTGCTACCAACAACAACAAAATGCAACTACTACGTTCGCCTAGTATGTCTCGCGTTGACGCGTGTCATCATGGGAAACGCCTACTATCATAGTTTTTATGTTATACCGAGGGTTTAGTATTTGTATTCGTTATTTTTGTTTTATTTTAATTTTTGTTTTTACGTTCCTCCAATGCTTTCGGTTTTCCTAACAGCCACTATTATTGCTCTGAACGTGCTTTGTTGGGAATGTAAAGGCTGTGAAGAAGCCACCGTCCTGCGGCGGATTTCTTTGTATAGTGGAACCATGTATTATGTGTGGCTGGTAACTTCTTCCGGATACCGTGGGTACCTTAACCTTTTTATGTATGTACTTTCGCCTCAGATTCCTACCTTGTTTATACCGACTCATAGAGCGATTTGACTCAGTTGGTTTCGAAATCGGGTCTTTGTTTCTCACATCGATTAAGGGGCAATTATAGACGTATAATGCATTTAACGCGAGGTCAAAATTGGCTGGTTTTCTTTTCACAGCCCGTTTCTAGTTGGAGTTATTGTTATAATATATTTGTATTACTCTTCAATTCCATTTCGGCCCAACACGCAAATTTATTGATTAACAAATGTCGAATAAAACCAACAGTAGTGCGATTCACTACTCTATTTTAACAACACTTGTTATCGTTATATCAACTAAACAACAATTTTATCGATTTTGCTATTCATAAAACGTTTCCTTAACAACACCGGCCTTCGAAAAATCAGCTGTTATCGTTTACGATTCGGCTATTGCTAAATTGTCGACATCTCAATTGGAGTTGTCAATTTTGTGTTAGCGTAAATATCTAAACAAATAAAAGTAACTTAATACGAAAAAAAGGAGTAAATACAAATTAGAGATGGCTTTCGAATTTGTAGCGTTAAGCTTGTCTCAAAACGAGCCAGAGACAAATTTTTCAACGGTGGATCGGCGTTTTCTGCGGGATATTGATAATCCCCTAGAACTCCCACCTTCAGAGTTCCGGAAGCTTTACCGTGTGCGTCCAGGCATGGTGGCGGACGTGGTTGAACGGCTGGAAGACCTTTTAAAAGGTTCACGAATTACAGCGATATCGGCTGAAAAACAGGTAAAGCATTAAATATTTACTTTTAATAAAGTTTTACATGTGTCAATAAATTCACTTTTGTTTTGAAAGGTTCTGTGCGCTTTGCGATTCTACGCCACGGGATGTTATCAACGGCCCGTGGGGGAACAATGGGGAATTTCACTGAGTCAGTCATCAACCAGCCGCTGCATACACAAGGTAACCGAAGCCATCAATAGCCGCTTATTCTTGTCGGAAGTGAAGTTCCCCATGACCCAAATAGAACGTCAAGCTGCCAAGGAAGCGTTTTCCTTAGCTCCTGCGCCTTTTGTCGGAGGAACCATCGGGGCGATCGACTGCACCCACATATCCATTTTGGGTCCTAAAAATAATGAGGAAGCATACGTTAATCATCATGGATATCACTCCATAAATGTGCAAATGGTAAGCAAAGCATTTGAAATGAAGTATAGTGTTAATTGTTTATTGTGTTTGCTATAGATATGTGACCCAAATCTTAAAATCCTGAACATGAATGCCCGGTATCCGGGAGCAAGACATGACTCCTATATTTGGAGCTCTTCCGCTGTGCGACAAGTCATGCAGCGAGCGTTTGAAAATGGAAACCGCAATATGTTTTTGATTGGTATTTATTTTTGTTAATTTATTTTAAAATATAATACTAAAAGATGTTTCTTTAAGGGGATTCTGGATACCCATTAGAGCCATGGCTCATGACTCCTTTACCCAACCAGCCAGAAGGGTCACCAAAATTTCGGTACAATGAAGCGCTCTGCAAGGCACGGAACCCGATTGAGAGACTCTTTGGCGTCCTTAAAGGAACGTGGCGATGCTTATCACAACAAAGGGTTCTGTTGTATGACCCCGCTTTCGCTGGTAAAGTCGTTAACGCGTGTGCAGCCCTTCATAACATTCGTTTAAGTGAGCGGTCAATTAGCGATCCTATTGAAAATTTTTCAACAGATTTTGAGAATTCTGACAGAATTTTCGAAAGCCCAAATGCATCATCTTCCACTGCAAAACGTGTACAAGAAAGATTGATTACAAACTTCTTTTCCTAAAATTTGTATGATTACACTTCTAAGGGCCGTTTTCTGAAGTAACCTTTAACTTGAAAGCTCACTATATATTTAAAGGTTGGATTAAAAATAAAGCTATGTCTAAAGTTAAGCATTTCTATTATCGGTTTTTGACGTATGTATGTTTCCTGGTTGTAAATCAATTTAAAACCGACAAAAAAATGATTTACTTTAGACACTATCATAAACTTTAAGGCAACCTTTAAATATAAAGTGAGCTTTAAAGTTACAGGCTACTTGAGAAAACGGCCATAACAGTTCAAAAAATTAAAGCTTAGAATCAAATATTTATAAGTACATACTTTATTAAAAATGTAAATATCACACGGTATTTTTGCCTTAATGGTATATTAAAATTAATCACACTAGATCATAAGCTTTCTTCTCATTTCTTATGTTAAATTTTCCCCTGAATCCAAACATGCAGTCAGAGATTTAGAAAGTAAATCCGTTTCGAGGTATATATAAATTTCGGTTTTTTGAGAACTGAAACAAGTTCACTCATTGAATTTAAATTTCTTTTTATACCAGTAAAGCTTTTACATTTGCTATCATTTATTTCAACATTATTGATTTATTGCCAAATTTGAATATGCATGTTGGCATAGATGATAGCAAATTTAACAAGCTCCATAGTAAAAAAAGAAATTTACATTCAAATTTATATATACCTCGACAACGGATTTACTTTCTAAATCTCTGACTGCATATTTGTATTCAAGGACAAATTTTACATAAAAAAAAGATGTTAAAACGCCACAGGTCAGATTTCTTGTAAACTGTTATTATCAATTAAATTTAATAATTTATTTTTGAGCTTTAGGCCGTATGTTAAATAAAACATTAAAGGTTTTCTGCTTTATTAACTTTTTATTTTTATTTTGGTCGATATTTCAGTCTCAAGGCATCTTCAGCCTCTGATCTCCGAAATACTATCACTTCTACCATTTTTATAAATTATTGTTGCTTTTTCACAATAGTTTTTCATAAAAAACGGCCTCAAGCTCAATAAAGTTGTTGAATAAAAATCAAAAATTTCATCAAAATTTTCAACTTTTTTTCAGAACTTTAGAAACTTACTGGGTATGCAGTTTTGTTGCTTATTAAATTTTAGGACAATAATGTGGAGGTTTGAAAGTTCTGAAAAATCCCGTTGAATTTTGAGAATTTGTTGTCGGGTGTTACGCATTTTCTTCCTTTTAAAAATATATTTTTTCATGCGTTGTATGGAAGAAAATGCGTAACACCCGACAAAAAATTCTCAAAATTCAACGGGATTTTTCAGAACTTTCAAACCTCCACATTATTGTCCTAAAATTGAATAAGCAACAAAACTGCATACCCAGTAAGTTTCTAAAGTTCTGAAAAAAAGTTGAAAATTTTGATAAAATGTTTGATTTTGTTAAATTTTTCTGAACTGTGCACAAAGTTTTAAATTTTGATTTAATTGGTATATGTTATAGATTTTACTATATTTGTATATAAAATTTTTCAAGTAAAACGTTGTGAATCTTGTAAAAAAATTTTAATCAAAATAATTTACTAAAAACTTCCACAGCTTTAAAATTAAATGCACATTCAGGTACTTTATTCACAGAAATTTGTATGTAGTGTTAAATAAAAATATTTAATTTAAAAACATTAACTTAAAAAATAAAGAGAAAAATTAAATACATACAAAAGAGATCAATTCAGTCTTAAAAAAATAACTACGCTGTTGGCCTGATACTTAGAAATCCGAGCTCACAAGTTTTTTTATTTTTTTCTTTATTTGTTTTAATTTATTTTAGGAAAAAACCATAAAGCAAAGTTGTTAACTTGTACATGATTTATAAAAATTCGAAGAATTTCGGAAAGTCCTATTAGTCGGAAATAACCTATTAAATTTTGATATAAATTGTGTAACTTTTAAGTAACTCAAAAATCTCATTGGTTTTTTGAGATTTTTTTTCGCTGACGTTGTTGTGCGTTTTCTACTATATAGAAGAATGTTCGAACATACTTCGTATGGAAGAAAATGCACAACAACGTCAGCGAAAAAAAAATCTCAAAAATCAATGAGATTTTTGAGTTACTTAAAAGTTACACAGTTTATATCAAAATTTAATAGATTATAAAACAGACGAATTTTTTCCAGAAATTCTGATTAAAAAGTTTGAAATATTGACTTTCTGAAATTTTTCGAATTTTTATAAATCAAGTACAAGTCTACAACTTTTCTCTATGGTTTTTTCTTAAAATAAATTAAAACAAAAAAGAAAAAAAATAAAAAAACCTTGTGAACTCGGATTTCTAATTATGAGGCCACCAGTGTATGTAAATATAATAATATTCTTCAGAAAATTAAAAGGTACCAATTCACTTTCATAACCTAATTCTTAATCTACTTTTAGTTTTTCTTAACCTAATTTTTTTCAAAAAAATTATTGTGGACCGAGTGCCCTGGCCAAATTGTTTATGGCATCAGCACAGGCTTTCAACCCCTCTCCGTATCCGCGGAGTTCCCCCGCCAGCTGGAATGGTAGGTCCACCAGTCTGGCGAAACTTTCTGACAGCATCTATGTATTTTAAAAAACAATCATTAAAAGTTCCAAAATCTATTAATAAAATATTTACTTTCGTTGCATCGGCTTGCGTTTTGGCAATTTCCAAAAATTTATTTTGGACGTCGATCTGCTCCTCCTCTCTCTTTCTCTTCAATCCTCTGCGCGGGGTTCTGAGTGTAGGAGTTTTTGGAGTTTCCGGTCGCGTCTCCTCCTCTATCAAACCTTCGCACTCCACCACTTCATCCAGAAAAACAATCTCCTCACCGTCTTCCATGGCCAACTGGAGCTCCTAATAATGAAAAAGTGGTTAATACTGAGTCAGAAATAAGTCAATTAAAACTTACCAAGTTCATTGGTACATTTTCTGCCACAGCCTCATGGCCCTCAATATAGTTGCTCCCGATGATGGCCACAACCCGCTCCTCTAGCTCTGTTAAAGGAGCTTGCTTAACGGGCTTGTTGCCGGTTAACGCCTGCTGCCTTTTCCTATCGCGCACTCGAACACTGGTTCTGCTCTTCAAATCGCGCCATACCTATTTACGTAAGAAGAAAAAAGTATCATTAAAAATTAACAGGTACAATGTTCCATACAATGAATGCATGTACACACAACTAACGAGACTGTGCAGTGACAATGCATGGGATTGACTCCACTTGTATATATACTTTTATAAGAAAACCGATATTATTACGTTAATAATTATTTTCACAAACGACAGACCTAAATAAAAGTGATTAATTTTTCCCAATTCACCAGTTCATACGCACAGCACCGTTGCTTGCTGGTACGTTCAAACTTAATGGGCTTATTACTTACTGTGCGCCACTGTTCGGCGGACTTTTGAGCACCTCCGATGGCATTTAGCTTGGAAGCCATCTCCTCCCACTTCTTCTCGTGCTCCATCTTCCCGTGTAGCCGATGAAACTTCCCACCGGCTAGTCCCGGGTTTTCCAAAAAGAAGTCCAGCATACCACTCAACTGCTCCATTGAAGCGCGGCTCCGCTTGTTGGCTGCTTGGCTAGTCGAGGCCATCCTGCGATAAAAGAACAATAGCTAGTTAAATTATTTATTCATCAATTTATTGAAATACTTACATTTTTAAGAAGAATCTGTGGTAAATTGCGCTTTTTTCCTATTCCCTTTTGTGCTTTTCGTAGATTTTGACATTTCGGATAACAGAGGTGCCACTTTTTATCATTTTAAATAAATAGCAAAAGTCAGCTGTTTAGTGTTGTTAATGGGTACGTTAGAGAATCGTACAATCGTTACGGCAAACAACAAAAATTGTTAGTTTACAACTCGGCAAGTAGCGTTGTTAAAAGTTAGTGAATCGCACTACAGATCGTGTTTAGCTTTGAACACGGTTCCATCGAATGCGTTATAAGACGTTTGTAAGAAATATGTGTTGAATCGAATCGGTCTTTGTTAATACGGTTTTGCGTAGGTATAAACAAGGGATATGTAAAATTCTTACATCTTTGTACGTTGGAACTCGATTCACACGGCATCTTAAGACTTTCTCCAACATTTTTCTTCCCCTTGTAAATTTGTTGATAGAAAGCTAATGAGCTCTGAACATTAATAGTTGTTGAACATTGTGAATTTGAAGAAAAGGGCAAACGTTGGAGAAAGTACAGTACAAGTCAGGTACATAAGGTTCTTTCTTTGTTGGGCAGAAGGCCCTCTTTTATTTGGTTATTATTTGCATAGATCTCACGATGGTCGGTTCTATATTACCGAATCGCCCCGTGTGAACTCGGGCTGAGAACCATCACCTCGTTATACACGCCTTTACTGAGTCGGTAACTGTTCATACGTATAGGCGTTAGAGACGGCTCTTATTAGACTGAGAAAAAAACGATGAAATTTCATTAAGTTTGTTTTTTATATCTCTGTTGCTATAAATGGCCTCGCTGTCATCGGTTGGGTTGCTAACCGTCCAAGCTACATACATATGTATGTATGTTATATGCAGAGCTGGGCAAAATTTATCATTATGCGTAAATAACAAATAATTCAGTTTGTTCAACGAAAAATTAGTCGAATGGAGGATACATTATTTTATTCGTTATTTGAATAATAAAAATAAAATAGATATTCGCGATAAAGTAAAAAAGAATCCAACTCCCTGCCTATCAGAGATTATAGAAAAAACATTTGTTTTAAAACATTATTTCCAATTGAAAACAAATCACGCATAATTTATTCAGAAGGAATTTATTGATGAATAATTCATTCGTTGGAATTATTTACGGCTAAAATTTGTTCGAATAATGCCTTGCTCTGGTTCTGTTATTCTGCGACGGAATCTTATTTTATTAAAATCGTCAAGCATGCATATATTCGGAGATTGTTAAGACATTCTTCTATGCAAAATGAGTGTTTGGTATACTTCCGCTTAAAACATCTAAGAGTTCTATTTCTAATGTGAGTGAAGTTGATTGATGAAATTTACTATTTGCGGGCCTCAGCCGTGGAATATTCTAGGTACCTATGAAGTGGAATACCTGGTTGCTTTCACGTTGAAGTCGCAAATACAGAGAATGTATTTACGAAGACTCCGTTGGTTCTTCGTTTGCTTCACTGAAGGGTGGTAGTAAGACCAATATTACTAGTGGTCTTGTTACCTGGCCACGTTCAGTCATGATGTCCACCACTCGTACCCGGGTATCCGAACCTGGGTGTAATTTTAAGACTCTTCCCAGTCTCCATTCATTTGGTGGTAAGTTGTCTTCCTTAATAATGACGAGGTCTCCTATTGTGATGTTGGCTTGAGGATGCCTCCATTTGTTGCGCTTCTGGAGTTCAGATAGGTATTCTGATTTCCATCGGTTACAAAACGTGTGATGTAAAGCTTTTAATCTTTGCCAACGATTTACAATCGTAGCCGTATTTTCGTTAGCATCAATTTCTGGTGGAGCTAATAGGTGTCCACCAACCAAAAAGTGGCCTGGAGTAAGTGGCTCCAAGTCTGATGGCTGGTTTGATGTAGGGCTTAATGGGCGAGAATTCAGACAGGATTCAATTCGGCGTAGAAGATTCGTAAACTCTTCAAACGTATATTTATGGTTTGATGCGATTTTCGTACAGTGGGTTTTAAAACTTTTAACCCCCGCTTCCCATAGCCCGCCCATGTGATGAGCTGAGGGGGGAATGAAGTGCCACGAAAGCATTTCATGGGTATATTTGGCTATTGCGTGCATCAATCAAAAAGGCTTTTAATTCCGCTCTCAGAGCTCTAGACGCTCCGACAAAGTTGGTACCATTGTCGGAGTAGATGGTTCTTGGACATCCTCTTCTTGAAACGAACCTGGCAAATGCTGCTAAGAAAGATTGCGTACTTAGATCAGAGGTAGCTTCGAAATGGATTGCCTTAGTGTCGAAACACACAAACAGGCAGACATATCCTTTGGACATACGACAGCCTCGTCCACTATAACTCTTTATGTCAAAAGAACCCGCAAAGTCGACTCCTAAATTTGTAAACGGTCGTGAAAATGTTGTTCTTTCTTTGGGAAGAATTCCCATTAGCTGTGTTTGCGCACGCCTTCGATGGATCGTACAGACCTTGTCTGTCGTTGCTTTAATTTCATCAACTGAAATTGAACAGGATTTCGCCAGAAATGAAGCCCTGGTTTTTGGGTGAGTTCTTTGTTAGAATCTCATTACATAAGATAAAACTCTCAAAGCTCTCGAGAAATCAGAAAATCTTTCAATAATATCATAGTGGATATCTAACATTGTTGTTGCGTGCACCCTTTTCTCTTCTATCACTGTATTATAGTCGTTTTTCTGAGTGAGCCACTTTGCTCTATCTTCTTGCAACCAAGAAGGACCCTCCCACCCCAAGGAATTGTTTACTAAATCTTGGGCTGCAAGACCTCTGCTGGCTAAGTCCGACGGATTTGACGTCGAGTCTACATGACGCCAATTTTCGTTTCCGACCTTTTCAATTATTTTTGTTACTCGATGGGCAACAAATGTCGACCAAAAGCACGGAGGTTTCCGTATCCTGGCGAGAACAATGGTAGAATCCGTCCACATCTGAGTCGTGAGATGAGCTAAGTTCAGATTATTGGTAATCGATTCCAATATTTCTGCTAGTAAAACCGCTCCACAGAGTTCCAATCGTGGCAAGGAAATCGTCTTGACTGGAGCTACTTTAGTCTTAGCTAGTAGTAGATTTATGAAGACTCTGCCGTCCATTTCAACGCGAAGATAGACGCAGGCAGCATATGCCTTTTCTGAGGCGTCGCAAAACCCGTGAATTTCAACTTCGGCTGTCGGTGAAAAGTATACCCAACGGGGAATACGAATCGTTTCTATGTGGCTGTAGCTTTCCTTGAAGTTTTGCCAGCGGTCTAGGGTTGTGGATGATACTGTTTCGTCCCACCCTGTTCCTTCTAACCAAATATTTTGCATCAAGATTTTCGCGGTAATTACAAACGGTGCAAGCCACCCTAACGGATCGAATAATTTGGCAATAGCCGATAGTATTGCTCGTTTTGTATAGCTAACCTGATTCTCAATTGGCTTGGCCGTAAAATAAAAATGATCCGAATGGGCGTTCCACCTAATGCCTAGAGCTTTGACCGTGCTGGTATCTTCGAAATCCAAGAAATCTTCTTTCAACAGATACGATTTGGGTATACCATGTAATATTTCGCTGCAGTTGGAAGTCCATTTCCTCAAGGGGAACCCTGCAGACTGCAAATTCTTGTGATTTCGCCCTTTGCCTTGATAGCAGATTCGATAGTATGACCGCCCGCTAAAACATCATCAACGTACATGTATTTTCTTAAGATGTCCGACGCAATGGGGTGTGAGTCTTCTACATCGTCAGCTAATTGGAGCAGAGTTCTAATCGCGAGGTAAGGTGCGCAATTGACACCGAAAGTCACAGTATTTAGCTCATAAAGACCAATTGGTTCGGTTGGGCTTGTTCGAAAAATTATACGCTGATACATCTTTTCGATGTCGCTATTGAAAACATACTTAAATAACATCCACCGAAGTATTAAAGTTGTCAAATCATTTTGAAGGACTGGACCAGGATGGATCACATCATTAAGACTCACCCCATTTGCAGTCGGACATGCTGCGTTGAAAACCACCCGTACTTTGGTGGTAGTGCTCTCTTCCTTCCGGNAACCCGCAAAGTCGACTCCTAAATTTGTAAACGGTCGTGAAAATGTTGTTCTTTCTTTGGGAAGAATTCCCATTAGCTGTGTTTGCGCACGCCTTCGATGGATCGTACAGACCTTGTCTGTCGTTGCTTTAATTTCATCAACTGAAATTGAACAGGATTTCGCCAGAAATGAAGCCCTGGTTTTTGGGTGAGTTCTTTGTTAGAATCTCA